GGTTCAAGATAAAGACAATAAGACCATCTCCAAGCAGCGTGATGTTCCTGTGATTACACTTCCACATGTTCTTCAGATGTTTAAGCTCCACAGGACTGAAGACAACCTCCCTGGATGCGACCGCAAGAGGAAAACTGACGACAAACTGAAGAGACGGATCATACGAACAGAACCAAAGACCCAGAACAACCTCCAAACAAATGAAACGTGAAGTTGAAGGACGAGGAACATCAGTGTCAGATCACACCGTCCATCAGTGTTTGAGCCAAAGTGGACTTCAAAACTGGAGCTCTTTGGCAAGACACATCAGCTCTATGTTCACAGACGCAAACATGAAGCAGACTAAGAAAAGAACACTGTCTCTACTGTGAAGCACGGAGGAGGTTTGATTTGGTTCTGGGGCTGTTCTGCTGCGTCAGGCTCAGGGCGTCTTGAATCTGTGAAAAATACAACAAAATCTGAAAACTATCAAAGTGTTTTGGAACAAAATGTGTCACCGAGTGTCAGAAAGTTTGATCTCAGTCGTAGGTCATGAGTCTTCAAGAGGAAAATGACCCAAAACACACGAAAAAACACACAAGAACGACTAAGAAAAAAACACTGGACTGATCTTGAGTGTTCTTCTGTTCTGGACTGTTCTTCTGTTCTGGAGTGTTCTTCTGTGAGTCCAGATCTCAATCCTACTGAACACATGTGAAAGGAGCTGAAACATGCATCTGGAGAAGGAACCTTCAAACCTGAGACAACTAGAGCAGTTTACTCACGAGAAATGGGTCAAAATCCTTTTTGTCCAGAGCAGAAGTTTCATTGACAGTTACAGAAATAATTCGTTTACAGAGTTTGACTCAAAAGGTGCAACAAAATATAAAGTTAATGAACCATCATTTTTGTCCAGGCCAGTTTCATTGTTTTGTTTTTTCTAATAATTCTGTTGAACCGCACGTGAAAAACAATGTTTGATTTACGTTGGACACACACACACAGGTGTACTTTAGCTCCGCCCCTCACCAGGTGTACTTTAGCTCCGCCCCTCACACAGGTGTACTTTAGCTCCGCCCCTCACACAGGTGTGCGTGGCTCAGTCTGTGATGTTTAAGACGTCTCTGAGATTGTTTCTGATGTTTCTGTGACTCAGAATACAACGACAGCGTCCAGGCAGCGAACGATCTGTGTCTGGCCGGAGAGTTCACCCTCCAGGACCGGGACCAGGACCGGGATCAGGACCGGGACCAGGACCGGGACCAGGACCAGGACCAGGGTCCAAACCCGGCCCAGAGGAGAGTGTGTCAGTTCAGACGCAGCGTGCTCCGGTCCTGCTCTGGACTCACAGATCCACATTTTGGATTCAAGGACGGCCGGCCGTGTGTGATCCTCAGTCTGAACCGGGTCGGTCCAACTGCACCTGTACATGTGTGTGTGTGAGGACATGAGTGTGTGTGTGTGTGTGTGAGGACATGAGTGTATGTGTGTATGAGGACATGAGTGTATGTGTGTGTGTGTATGAGGACATGAGTGTGTGTATGAGGACATATGTGTATGTGTGTATGAGGACATGAGTGTGTGTGTGTGTGTGTGTGTGTGAGGACATGAGTGTGTGTGTGAAGACATGAGTGTGTGTGTGTGTGTGAGGACATAAGTGTGTGTGTGTGAGGACATGAGTGTGTGTGTGAGGACATGAGTGTGTGTATGTGTGTATGAGGACATGAGTGTGTGTGTGTGTGTGTGTGAGAACATGAGTGTGTGTATGTGTGTGTGAGGACATGAGTGTGTGTATTAGGACATGAATGTGTGTATGTGTGTATGAGGACATGAGTGTGTGTGAGTGTGTGTGTGTGTGTGTGTGTGAGGACATGAGTGTGTGTGTGTGTGTGTGAGGACATGAGTGTCTGTGTGTGTGTGTGAGGACATGAGTGTGTGTATGAGGACATGAGTGTGTGTATGTGTGTATGAGGACATGAGTGTGTGTGTGTGTGTGATGACATGAGTGTGTGTGTATGATGATATGAGTGTGTGTATGTGTGTATGAGGACATGAGTGTGTGTGTGTGTGTGTGTGAGGACATGAGTGTGTGTATGAGGACGTGTGTGTGTGTGAGGACATGAGTGTGTGTGTATGATGATATGAGTGTGTGTATGTGTGTATGAGGACATGAGTGTGTGTGTGTGTGTGTGTGTGAGAACATGAGTGTGTGTATGAGGACATGAGTGTGTGTATGTGTGTATGAGGACATGAGTGTGTGTGTGTGTGTGTGAGAACATGAGTGTGTGTATGTGTGTATGAGGACATGAGTGTGTGTGTGTGTGTGTGTGACATGAGTGTGTGTGTGTGTGTGTGTGTATGATTACATGAGTGTGTGTATGAGGACATGAATGTGTGTGTGAGGACATGAGTGTGTGTATGAGGACATGAGTGTGTGTGTGTATGATTACATGAGTGTGTGTATGAGGACATGAATGTGTGTGTGAGGACATGAGTGTGTGTGAGGACATGAGTGTGTGTGTGTGTGTGTGTGTGTGTGAGGACATGAGTGTGTGTGTATGAGGACATGAGTGTGTGTATGAGGACATGGGTGTGTGTGTGTATGTGTGAGGACATGAGTGTGTGTATGAGGACATGAGTGTGTGTGTGTGTGTGTATGAGGACATGAGTGTGTGTGTGTATGATTACATGAGTGTGTGTATGAGGACATGAATGTGTGTGTGAGGACATGAGTGTGTGTGTGAGGACATGAGTGTGTGTGTATGATGATATGAGTGTGTGTATGAGGACATGAGTGTGTGTGAGGACATGAGTGCCTAAAGGTTCTTCTTCTACAACTGTGTTAATTTATACTTTTTATACTGTGTGTCTGTGTGTGTGTGTGTGTGTCTGTGTTTGTGAGTGGTGTGTGTGTGTGTGTCTGTGTGTGTGTGTGTATTAATTTGTATGGGTGTGTGTGTGTGTGTGTGTGCGTTGGGGTGTGTGTGTATTTGTGTGTGTGCAGGTCGTGGGGCTGAAACCTTCTGGAGATCCCTACATTAACTGCACATCAAAGGTACCTGCCTCATTTGCATTTTACCACAGAGTTAGAATTATTTTACAGAGTTTTGTACATCTCCTCCTCTGACCCTCTGACCTTCTGCTCCTCTGCTCCTCTGACCCTCTCCTCCTCTGACCCTCTGATCTTCTGCTCCTCTGACCCTCTCCTCCTCTGACCCTCTCCTCCTCTGACCCTATCCTTCTCTGACCCTCTCCTCCTCTGCTCCTCTCCTCCTCTGACCCTCTCCTCCTCTGACCCTCTCCTCCTCTGACCCTCTGACCTTCTGCTCCTCTGACCCTCTCCTCCTCTGACCCTATCCTCCTCTGACCCTATCCTCCTCTGACCCTATCCTCCTCTGACCCTATCCTCCTCTGACCCTCTCCTCCTCTGACCCTATCCTCCTCTGACCCTCTCCTTCTCTGACCCTATCCTCCTCTGACCCTCTCCCTCCTCTGACCCTCTGACCTTCTGCTCCTCTGACCCTCTGCTCCTCTGACCCTCTGCTCCTCTGACCCTCTCCTCCTCTGACCCTCTCCTCCTCTGACCCTCTGCTCCTCTGACCCTCTCCTCCTCTGACCCTCTCCTCCTCTGACCCTTTGACCCTCTGCTATCTGTGGTTACAGACTCCGTTAAAGCTTCAGTATTTTCCTTCTGACGCTCGTTTGGATCGGATGTTCTTTCCGTTCTACGGGAAAAGAACCCACGTGAGTTTGAAGAAGAAACCAGCAGGAGGACTCCTCCTCTCCTCCTTTATACTTTTCTCTCCTCCTTCCCTCCCCGCTCTTTTATTTGTCTTTCCCTCACTCTTCCTCTCTTTCAGTCTCAGTACGTTCAGCCGCTGGTCGCCGTGAAGCTCCTCCCCTCTCGCCGCGATGTGGGCGTGTCTCTGTCCATCACCTGTCGGGTCGAAGGCAGCAGCATCCAGAACCAGAACTTTAGAGACCGGAACCAGGGACGGGTCTCCTTCAAAGTCCGGATCACTCAGTAGAGCCTGGACTAAACCTGGACTGAACCTGAAATAAACTTGGACTAAACCCGGACTAAACCTGGACTAAACCTGAACCAAACCGGGACTAAACTTGGACTGAACCTGTACTACACCTGGTCTAAACCTGGACTAAACCTGAACTAAACCTGGACTAAACCGGGACTAAACTTGGACTGAACCTGTACTACACCTGGACTAAACCTGGACTAAACCTGAACTAAACCTGGACTAAACCTGAACTAAACCTGGACTAAACCTGAACTAAAGGACTAAAGTGTAAAGATTTGGTTCTTTTCAATAAACATGTCCAGTGTCCAGTGTTGCACATAAAGAATCGTACACGATTCTTTACATGATTCGGGTCGTGGTCCGACCTGGAGGTGAACTTGGTCGGGGAAGGTCCCAACTTCCTCGTCTCTGATTGGCCACGAAAACGTCGTCTCAGGTTCAGGCCGCGAGAACAGAACTAAAATAAAATCAGTTTATTCTAGTCAGTGTGAAGATCCAGGGCTGTGTCTTTACATCTCCCTAGCCCCGAGTGTGTAAGGGCCAAGTGTGTGTGAGGGCAAGTGTGTGAGGGCCCGGTGTGTAAGGGCCCAGTGTGTGTGAGGGCAGAGTGTGTGAGGGCCGAGTGTGTGAGGACCGAGGGTGTGAGGGTAGAGTGTGTAAGGGCCATGTGTGTGGGCAGAGTGTGTGAGGGCCGTGTGATAGGGCCGAGTGTGTAAGGGCCGTGTGAGTGAGGACCGAGTGTGTGAGGGTAGAGTGTGTAAGGGCCGTGTGTGTGTGGGCAGAGTGTGTAAGGGCAGAGTGTGTGTGAGGACTGAGTGTGTAAGGGCCGTGTGTGTAAAAGCCGTGTGTGTGAGGGCAGAGAGTGTGAGGCCGTGTGTGTAAGGGTAGTGTGTAAAAGCCGTGTGTGAGTGTAGTGTGTAAAAGCGTGTGTAAGGGTAGTGTGTAAAAGCCATGTGTAAGGGTAGTGTGTAAAAGCGTGTGTGTAAGGGTCGTGTGTAAAAGCCGTGTGTGTAAGGGTAGTGTGTAAAAGCCATGTGTAAGGGTAGTGTGTAAAAGCCGTGTGTGTAAGGGTAGTGTGTAAAAGCGTGTGTAAGGGTAGTGTGTAAAAGCGTGTGTGTAAGGGTCGTGTGTAAAAGCCGTGTGTGTAAGGGTAGTGTGTAAAAGCGTGTGTAAGGGTAGTGTGTAAAAGCCATGTGTAAGGGTAGTGTGTAAAAGCGTGTGTAAGGGTAGTGTGTAAAAGCCATGTGTAAGGGTAGTGTGTAAAAGCGTGTGTGTAAGGGTCGTGTGTAAAAGCCGTGTGTGTAAGGGTAGTGTGTAAAAGCCATGTGTAAGGGTAGTGTGTAAAAGCCGTGTGTGTAAGGGTAGTGTGTAAAAGCCGTGTGTGTAAGGGTAGTGTGTAAAAGCCATGTGTAAGGGTAGTGTGTAAAAGCGTGTGTGTAAGGGTAGTGTGTAAAAGCCGTGTGTAAGGGTAGTGTGTAAAAGCCGTGTGTGTAAGGGTAGTGTGTAAAAGCCGTGTGTGTAAGGGTAGTGTGTAAAAGCCATGTGTAAGGGTAGTGTGTAAAAGCGTGTGTGTAAGGGTCATGTGTAAAAGCCGTGTGTGTAAGGGTAGTGTGTAAAAGCCGTGTGTGTAAGGGTAGTGTGTAAAAGCCAAGTGTAAGGGTAGTGTGTAAAAGCCGTGTGTGTAAGGGTAGTGTGTAAAAGCTGTGTGTGTAAGGGTAGTGTGTAAAAGCTGTGTGTAAGGGTAGTGTGTAAAAGCCGTGTGTGTGAGGGTAGTGTGTAAAAGCCATGTGTAAGAGTAGTGTGTAAAAGCCGTGAGTAAGGGTAGTGTGTAAAAGCCGTGTGTGAGGGTAGTGTGTAAAAGCCGTGTGTGTGAGGGTAGTGTGTAAAAGCCGTGTGTGAGGGTAGTGTGTAAAAGCCGTGTGTGAGGGTAGTGTGTAAAAGCCGTGTGTGTGAGGGTAGTGTGTAAAAGCCGTGTGTGAGGGTAGTGTGTAAAAGCCGTGTGTGTGAGGGTAGTGTGTAAAAGCCGTGTGTGAGGGTAGTGTGTAAAAGCCGTGTGTGTGAGGGTAGTGTGTAAAAGCCGTGTGTGAGGGTAGTGTGTAAAAGCCGTGTGTGTGAGGGTTGTGTGTAAAAGCCGTGTGTGAGGGTAGTGTGTAAAAGCCGTGTGTGTGAGGGTAGTGTGTAAAAGCCGTGTGTGAGGGTAGTGTGTAAAAGCCGTGTGTGTGAGGGTAGTGTGTAAAAGCCGTGTGTGTGAGGGAATGTGAATAAACTCAGTTGTTCATCGATGAAACTGAGACGATGTTTTCTTGGCCAAATGAAACAGCCAATCAGAGGAAAGGAGGGCGGTTCTTTCCGTTCGACGATTCGTAAATCACCTGGAGGAGCGTACTAGCATTAGCCTGCTGTTAGCCTGTTAGCCGTTAGCCTGTTAGCCGTTAGCCTGTTAGCCGTTAGCCTGGGCTCACAGCTGCTCACTGGCGCCACCTGGAGCCAAATGTGAACATTAATGTCTGGACCTTTTTATTTAATCAAAATCACAACTGTCTGAAAAAAAAATATTTATGTTAAAGAAAGATAAATTTTTATTCAAAAGTTCACTAGATTTTATGTTTTATTTATTAAAATGTCCAAAAGGCAAAAGACAAATATAAAAATATATATTTATATTTTCGCACATTCTGTGTCTCTGCAGTAACGTCAGTCTGACACTAGAGGGAGTGTTGTATACTCTGTGTCCACTGGGACCAAACCAGGTCTAAAACTGGTCTTGGTCTTGGTATTTTCTGTCAAAGGGACAAACCCAGTGTGTCTTACTTGTAAAAAATATAAATATTCTGGTGCTGCTAGTTTTTTTGTTATTATTATTATTATTATTATTATTTATTATATTATTATTATTATTTGATGATGTTCACCGAAAATGCAAATGTGAAAATAAAACATTTAATTTAAAATTTACTCTTTTTTGTGAATTTATTCAAACTTTTTCCTCCAACCCTCTGACCTCTGACCCTTTCCAGAGATAAACTCAGACCAGACTTTTGAAAAAAGGTTTAATTTATAACATTAGAGTCACAATACAAACAAAATCACAGAAATATCCATTTAAAGCCACAGTATGGAACTTTTTAGCCCAAAAGACTCCAGTAAAGGCAGCTGGTTTATTTATTTGTTTGTTGCTCGAGTCTCCACAGATCTGCCTTTCGCAAAAAGCAGTTTATTCAAGTGTACCATGGGAGTTTTAATGTGGTTGTGTGTGTGGTCCTCTGTGTGGTCGTGTGTGTGGTCGTGTGTGGTCGTGTGTATGGACGTGTGTGGTCGTGTGTGGTTGTGTGTGTGGTTGTGTGTGGTCGTGTGTGTGGTCGTGTGTGTGTGATTGTGTGTGTGGTCGTGTGTGTGGTCGTGTGTGTGGTCGTGTGTGGTCGTGTGTGGTCGTGTGTGTAGTCGTGTGTGTGTGGTCGTGTGTGTTCGTGTGTGTGGTCGTGTGTGTGGTCGTGTGTATGGACGTGTGTGGTCGTGTGTGGTTGTGTGTGGTCGTGTGTGTGGTCGTGTGTGTGTGATCGTGTGTGTGGTCGTGTGTGTGGTCGTGTGTGTGGTTGTGTGTGGTCGTGTGTGTGGTCGTGTGTGTGTGTGTGTGTGTCGTGTGTGTGGTCGTGTGTGTGGTCGTGTGTGTGTGTGTGTCGTGTGTGTGGTGTGTGTGTGGTCGTGTGTGTGTGTCGTGTGTGTGGTCGTGTGTGTGTGATCGTGTGTGTGGTCGTGTGTGTGTGTGTTCGTGTGTGTGTGTCGTGTGTGTGGTCGTGTGTGTGTGATCGTGTGTGTGGTCGTGTGTGTGTGTCGTGTGTGGTGTGTGTGTTGTGTGTCGTGTGTGTTGTCGTGTGTGATCGTGTGTGGTGGTCGTGTGTGTTGTCGTGTGTGGTCGTGTGTGGTTGTGTGTGGTCGTGTGTGTGGTCGTGTGTGTGTGTGTCGTGTGTGGTTGTGTGTGGTCGTGTGTGGTTGTGTGTGGTCGTGTGTGTGTCGTGTGTGTGTGGATCGTGTGTGTGGTCGTGTGTGTGGGTCGTGTGTGTGTGGTCGTGTGTGTGGTCGTGTGTGGTTGTGTGTGTGTCGTGTGTGTGTCGTGTGTGTGTGATCGTGTGTGTGGTCGTGTGTGTGTGATCGTGTGTGTGGTCGTGTGTGTGTGTGTTGTGTGGTCGTGTGTGTGTGTGTGATCGTGTGTGTGGTCGTGTGTGTGTGATCGTGTGTGTGGTCGTGTGTGTTGTCGTGTGTGTGTGTGTGTGTGGTGTCGTGTGTGTTGTCGTGTGTGATCGTGTGTGTGTGGTCGTGTGTGTGGTCGTGTGTGTTGTCGTGTGTGGTTGTGTGTGGTCGTGTGTGTTGTCGTGTGTGATCGTGTGTGTGTGGTCGTGTGTGTGGTCGTGTGTGTTGTCGTGTGGGTCGTGTGTGTGTGGTCGTGTGTGTGGTCGTGTGTGTTGTGTGTGTCGTGTGTGTGGTCGTGTGTGTGGTGTCGTGTGTGTGTGTCGTGTGTGTGTGATCGTGTGTGTGGTCGTGTGTGTGTGTCGTGTGTGTGTGTGTCGTGTGTGTGTGTGTCGTGTGTGTGGTCGTGTGTGTGGTCGTGTGTGTGTCGTGTGTGTGTGGTCGTGTGTGTTGTCGTGTGTGGTTTGTGTGTGGTCGTGTGTGTTGTCGTGTGTGATCGTGTGTGTGGTCGTGTGTGTGGTCGTGTGTGTGTGTGTCGTGTGTGTGTGTGTTGTGTGTGTGGTCGTGTGTGTTGTCGTGTGTGATCGTGTGTGTGGTCGTGTGTGTGGTCGTGTGTGTTGTCGTGTGTGGTCGTGTGTGTGGTCGTGTGTGTGGTCGTGTGTGTTGTCGTGTGTGGTCGTGTGTGTTGTCATGTGTGTGTAAAGTAGTATACTTTCGAGTACACTAAAAGTACATGGTCTGTAGTATACTTGATATACTGAAGCATCCTTACTATAAGGTTAGGGTTACTATACTCGTTAGGTAAGTAGACTACTTTTTGCTTCTTGTTTCCATGGAAACACTAATCCTTTTGCATTATGTCATCAAAGTGTATGTCCATGTGGAAAGTCCTGAAGTGTGGTTTTAACTTTCTATTTCCATGGAAACCCGCAGGTGCCAAAGTTACACAGTGTGTCTTTAAATAAATGTGTGGAGGATTTTTTTTTTTTTTTTAACAGGCGACGCTCTGGGGGTTCAGTGTTCCATGTTTATGTTCAGTTTCCAGTTTCCAGTGTCCAGTGTTCAGTGTGTTCAGTGTTCAGTGTGTTCAGTGTGTTCAGTGTGTCCAGTGTTTCAGTGTGTTCAGTGTGTTCAGTGTGTCCAGTGTTCAGTATGTTCAGTGTTCAGTGTGTCCAGTGTTCAGTATGTTCAGTGTGTTCAGTGTGTTCAGTGTGTTCAGTGTGTTCAGTGTGTCCAGTGTGTTCAGTGTGTCCAGTGTGTCCAGTGTTCAGTGTGTTCAGTGTGTCCAGTGTCCAGTGTGTTCAGTGTGTCCAGTGTTCAGTGTGTTCAATGTTCAGTGTGTCCAGTGTTCAGTGTGTTCAGTGTGTCCAGTGTTCAGTATGTTCAGTGTGTCCAGTGTTCAGTGTGTTCAGTGTGTCCAGTGTTCAGTATGTTCAGTGTTCAGTATGTTCAGTGTGTTCAGTGTGTTCAGTGTGTTCAGTGTGTTCAGTGTGTTCAGTGTGTCCAGTGTGTTCAGTGTTCAGTATGTTCAGTGTGTTCAGTGTGTCCAGTGTGTTCAGTGTGTCCAGTGTTCAGTGTGTCAGTGTGTTCAGTGTGTCAGTGTGTTCAGTGTGTTCAGTGTGTCAGTGTGTCAGTGTTCAGTGTTCAGTGTTCAGTGTGTTCAGTGTGTTCAGTGTGTCCAGTGTTCAGTGTGTCCAGTGTCCAGTGTGTTCAGTGTGTTCAGTGTGTTCAGTGTGTCCAGTGTGTTCAGTGTGTCCAGTGTCCAGTGTGTTCAGTGTGTTCAGTGTGTTCAGTGTGTCCAGTGTGTTCAGTGTGTTCAGTGTGTCCAGTGTGTCCAGTGTCCAGTGTGTCAGTGTGTTCAGTGTG